CTTGAGTTAATGAATCAGACTACCATTTTAGTCCAAGGATATGTATAATAATGAAGGAAGTGATTCTAACCTAAACCCCTCTCTTTATCCATAGCTGTTGTAATTATGTCTATAAAATTCTGTCCGTTTGACAGATTACTAAATTAATATAGAAATGGTTTTGGGGAAAAATACATTGTTTTCTTACATCATGTGACTGTGACCTATCTTAGTGCTTGATATGCAGATGACGCTTAATGTTTGTAAATGGATGATTGGGGAGACTGGACTCTGTAATTTACAACCTGTGATAAGAGACTTAAAAAATTGCAAAGGTTAAAAATCATTCTCAATAATAATAATAATACCTAACGCAGCATTTTATACAAATAGATTTTTTTTCTCCTGACTTCTGATATGGCCTCAGTATCTTAAGTTTGATAGCCTCCAAGTATAGTATCCATTGACCTGTGAATGTGAAAATGTTTTTCCTCAGAAAACTAAGGGACATTTCAAAGGACTGATTTCAATTGTTTAATGTAAGACAAAGGGAAATAGAGTTTAGTAGTTGTATGTCAACTCACAGTATTTTAATATGATCAGGATAAAAAAGAGAAGATCTTTTCCCAGAAAATAGTTTATCTTTTTACAGGCATTAAACCATTGCTAAGACCAAAGTTATCACCTCAGGAGCATCAAAGAATGAAGGTCACATATAAATATCCTTAACACCATACCCAAGGCCAGACAGCTTCAGGGGATCTTTCCATCTCTTTAGGAATTATAGTTGTGTTTTTTTGTTTTGTTTTGTTTTGTTTTGTTTTTAGTTTTGTTTAGTTTTCCAGATTTAAAACTGATAAACAGCTTTATCTTTCTTGGGTTTATATGTAAAGCATGTGTAAATATGTGTGACATGTATGTGTGTAAAGTGTGTGTTTCTAACCACTGACAGTACATGTGGTATTAATTGAAATAGAAAAGCAAAGTTTGATATTTTTTTAGTATTTAATTAAATTTATGAAGATATAGTAAATGAGCCCTAACTGGTTTGACTCAGTGGATAGAGCATCCGCCTGTGGACTTAAAGGTCCCAGGTTCAATTCCAGTCAAGGGCATATACCTTGGTTGCAGGCACGTGCCCAGAGGAGAGTGTGCAGGAGGCAGCTAATCAATGTTTCTCTCTCATCAATGTTTCTAACTCTCTATCCCTCTCCCTTCCTCTCTGTAAAAAATTAATAAAATATATATTTTTAAAAAAGATGTAGTAAATGAGGGATCAAAACAGGTATTAAAAATCTATTCTTTAATCTCAGCATGACTATGGTAAGCCAAGTTAAAAGAAAGTTTCTGTCAACTGAAAGAGGTTTTCTTTGTATTTTCTATACCAAAAAAATCCTGATAATTTAGGTTTTATATCTAAGAAGTATCCAGTAATCAATTTCCAAAATGAAGCCCCCGTATAAAATGGGAACACCGAGAAAAAATGCCAACTAAATAATATCAGCGATCATTTTCAAAGGAAATAAAAAAAGAGAAGAACACAGTAACAGACTTTTCAAACATAAACTGGAAGATGGTGAAATGTCAATTTCTAGTAAAAGCCTGATTGATTAAACAATTTGTACCTATACAAAATAGTATATAACAGAAAAAGTCACAAAATTATGCTATAATAAGAAAGTTATCAATGTACAATGTCATTGCCAATAAAAGAGAAAGATTAAAAAACAATTACAACATGCTGTGCATATCAGGAAGTTTCATCTCTATCCACCCCAGAGTAATTAGCTCATAGCTTGCTGAGGCCATGTCAATCATTCGGTTGTTCTAGGAAAATACCATGTAAAATTAAAAAGAAAGAAAGTAAAAAGTAAAGTCTGAACCCTGTGGAAAATGCTCTATGGCAGTAATTTTCAACCTTTTTCATTTCAAGGTACATAAAATTCTACAGCACACAAAAAACACATTTTTTTTGCCTTTCTGACAAAAATAGATATCATTATGATTCATTCATACTAGACGGTTATTGTTGTGTTGGCTGTTGTCATTTTTTAAAAATTTTATTTGACAATCTAAAGGAAAAGAGGTCAGTGTTCCTGACTAACTAGGCATTGCATATTTTAAAAATTTTTGAGGCACTGTGGCACACTGAAAATCGATGCACTATGGAATATTTAGCACTTTTAAACATAAAAAATAACACAAATTCTAAAATTGATAGATTCATAAAATGTTATAATTCCTTATTATTTTTAAAATAAGACCTTTTCCTTTGTAAGAATAATGCTTGTCTGTATTATTTAAAACCATATCTAGGTAGGAAGACCCAAAATGTTTCTACATGAGTTTTATCCTAAGAAGTTTATAAAGTCTGTGTACTTGATTTATTTTCATCTTTCAATGTATTTTATTTTTGTAATAATTCTTCATTATTGAAAATATTAGATATAACCCCTTTCCCCCTCCCCATTGACCCTGTCAGCTCTTGCAATGTATTTTAGAATAAAAGAGTTCTGGGTGTTTTTTGTTTGTTTGTTTTTTCCTTTTTGAAATAGATTAGTGCCATAATATTCAGTGTGTTATAATCCTCAATTTTTTTTCTTTGGTCTGAATAAAAATACAAATTGTCAGTGAATATGGATCTTTAGGATATATTTTCTCCTGAGCCCAAATGATATATAAATTGCCAATAAATATTACATAAAAGTGATATTCATTTTTTGCAATATATCAAAACTGATTTATCCATATCTTCACTGACCATTCAAATAATTTCAATTAAAAGCCATTTTACCTAGGAGCAACTATCTGGTTTACAAAATATTCAAAAGATTAGAAGTGATAAGAGAGTAAGTTCTAAGTGAGAGAATTGACCACATGTTGATGTGTGTGTGTGTGTGTGTGTGTGTGTGTGTGTGTGTGTTTGTGTGTTATCAATCACATTTTGGCACAGAGAAGAGGGAGTCACATAAAATTCAATGTCTTTAGACTACTCCTACAACAAACTTTTTCCCAATAAACTGCTAGTATTCAAAGATAATTTCCCAATTTTTTTTTTTTTTTTTTTTTTTTTTTTTTTTTTTAGGTTTAGGGAACATTTCTTCATTTCGGTTTTTTTTTTTTTTTTTTTTTTTAAATATTTGCTGAGTTAATTCAAGATTCTACAAGATAGGTAAAATTTTCTTAGTCCAGAAAAAAAAATTATGAAGTTCATTGCCTTGGGTGAAAAGGGAAAAGTCTGTCTTTTTGTATCATTTAGCTTTTGAATAAGTATACTTATTCTAGACCTTGATTCATTCTTCCTATTATATTTTACTCATTTCTCCTAAGTGTGGGCCCAACAAACAAAATACCTTCTTCTGATCCCAATACCCTCGATATAAGTAATGCTTCTGAAGTTATTGGAAGGGAAGAAAGAGCTCACCTCTCAGTCAGAAGTGAATAAATCATATTACAAACCAGCTCTGCAAAAGTATTCCAGTTATCTACTCTTTGGGGGTAGAAAAGAGACATTATCACTTGGTAGTTTTCTTAGTAATTACAATTTACTCAACTTAGTGATCTTATTTGATCAAAATCTGAGCAAAGTTTTAAAAACAAGACTGGAGGAATTAGCTCATCTTCCAGAAATTTGAAACAAAGGTAGAGAATTCTCCCAGGTTTAGTGACATCAATGGGCACCAGATCCCCAGCTTTCTTCCTGGAAAGGGCTGGCTGACATCACAGAACACACACAAATTCCCAGAGATTTTCTAAAAATGTACTGCTGTTATATCAACATTAAATATAAGCAATGCTACTACACATATTCCTAAGAAAAGCCTGAGCACTCTTACTGCTAAATGACAAGCACTAGAAGAAACAGAATTTCCAGGCACAAAGAGAAAGGGTGTTCAAAGGAAGTAACTAGTTTTATGAAAATAAATTGTTTATTTTCTACTGCAATTTATGGCTATAGTCATAATTCTTTTCAAAATAGTGTATTGAAAGGTGCCTAATTCTGCATATTTATGACTTGAATAAGTGCTGAAGACCAAAAGTAAATGACTAGAACAGAAACAAAATCAATATGAATATTGATTGCCTGATTTTTGGGGGGGCCTTACAGTACATTTCATATATTTGTGCAGGTTTAAGTATTTCCATGAAGACTTTCATTGAGTATTCTATAATATTCTAACACCAAAACATTTTCAAATCGAAGAAGCTCTCATTACTAAATATCCCTTTTAACAATGGCCTAGATTAAATATTTAAATAGGTTTGTTGTAGAATAGAGTACAATCATGTTTCTATTTGTCTATTTAATTATTTATATGTATTTTAGGAAAGCTTTTATTTGGGATCTACCTATTTTATTTTTCTTCAAAATAAAATATGTATATCTATGATACATATATTAATGTATCTATTGACAAACCATTCAATAAAATTTACTTTGAATCCATATATACTATGATTGATGTATTCAGGTTGAAATCACTCAGAATCTGAAAATAAAAGCAGGCATTACAAGGTCTGGTTATTTCACAAAACACTTGTTTGCCCAAGTGTCTGCTTTGTATCCATCACCCTGTTAGGCCAGAATGCTGACTAACCTGAATTATCAGTCCCATTCCTCTCAATCTACTAGGCAGAGACACAGTCTGTCCCAAATGCTAAAACTGAAGCCGGCAACCATAAATACTTCTGAGAGGAAACAAATGTCAGATTAAAAAAACAAAAACAAACAAGAAAAAAAATCTTATAAAAAATATGGTTCTATAAATGACAGAATAAACAATAAGTTAATACTATTCTTGTGAAGAAAACATACCTGACAAAGATACACTGTGTCCTTAAAACTTAGCACTTACAGGGACTAGGTAAGGCTTACGAAATCCATCCGACATTGAGGTTGTCTACTGATAAATGCGCTGCTTGCCTGGTTTACTTTGGGATGTGCTTAATAGACAAATGGTCAGATCAAGGTAGGGCAGACATCAGCTGCAAAAGTGGAGAATTACAGCTTCATCACTTACCTTCCACTGAGGAGGAAGCCCATAACCACCGCCAACAAAATGACTCCCACTGTCACAGACACAGCAATTATAGGAATCTGGCTTTGATCGCTGGAGGCTGCAACTGCTGGATGAAGACAGAAAATGGAGTTTGTGGTTAATGTCATCACAGGCATTCAAATAAAAACTGCTTAATGGCTGGTAATCAATGCATGGTTTAAGCAATTCACCCCACACGAGACTGGGATTTCCCTCCAATATCTCTTCTCAAAAGTGTGTAATTAAAAAAAAAATCTTTAGGGGAAAATATTTGCTCTCCAAATGGAAATCTGAAAGGATCACTAAGTCACTGATCATGTCCTTGTCATTATAGAAAAATGAGCGTAATTGCACAGTAGTCATCTAAGGATCTTTGCTTTGCATGATAAATGGGACTTAGCCCTTGATTTCAAACAACTTAACCTAAATAGTAGGTGGTAAGTCTATGAGATATGACATGCTTAGAATTTACATGTGGCTGTTCGCTAGAAAAAGGAAAAAGAAGTATGGTTACCTTAGACAGAACTTTTTCACAACTCCCCTCCCTTGCAGGCCTTATCCCTCCCAACTGCCCTCCCCGGCTGGCCATCTTGTGATAGCCATCTTGTGTCCACAGGCTTTATATTCTCTAAACTCAGATTACTTAAACAATTGCTTTTTCTCAGTTTTAACTTTCTTTTTTGGCAGAAGCACTGTTTCTAGAAAAAAACATGTAGACTTGGCCTATAAAAATTACTTAGATTGGACTCCAACTGCTGCTCCAACACTTTTTCTTTTCCAATATTTTTTATTGGTTAAGGTATTACATATATGTCCATATCCCCTCATTCTGATGCTTTTGAGTCTTATTAATGTTCTAACAAAATCATCTCCATAATGAGTCTTCCTCATTTTCTCAGCACACAAATCTAGTCCCTACCTCCTCTATATTAGTGATGTGGAGACAACTTTTTAAAAATAAAATAGTCAATTCCACACTCCGTTGTTAAATATAATGGTATAATTTTTGTTTCACCTAATTCCACTGTTAGAGCTCTTCCTATCTCTCCCAAGATGTTGCCATCCGTTAGGCCCTTTTATTAAAATTTTTGAGGAAACTCCATGCTGTTTTCCTCAGTGGCTATATAAGTCTGCATTTCTGCTCACAGTGTACTAAGATTCCTTTTTTTCCCACATCGTCACCAGCACTTTTCTTTGTTGATTTATTTGTTGATTTTTGGTAAATAACAATGTGGGGGGTTTTGTTTTTCCCCCCAATCATTGTATGTCATGATTGGGAAGATAAAGTAGCATATGTAGAAAACTCACATTGTTTTCCTCACTTAACTTCTCACACTCATGACTACAAACCCATATTACACAGATAGTTTCTAGATTTTAGCTATATTTTTAAGCAGTTAAACTTGAAGGTAAGAGGTTTTGTTAGAGCCAGATTATAAGGGCTATGGAAGGATAGGCTAAGAATTTAGGATCTGTTTCCTATAGCAATAAGTACCAATTAGTTTTCTTAATCAGAATAACATATTCAAAGTTACTATTTTTTTAAATGATCCAAATATTTTTTTAAATATATATTTTATTGATTTTTCACAGAGAGGAAGAGAGAGGGATAGAGAGTCAGAAATATTGATGAGAGAGAATCATCAATCAGTTGCCTCTTGCACACCCCCTACTGGGGATGTGCCTGCAACCAAGTTACATGCCCTTGACCGGAATCGAACCCAAAACCCTTCAGTCTACAGGCCGACACTCTATCCACTGAGCCAAACCGGTTTCAGCAAAAGTTACCATTTTTTATAGTGAGTACATAAGACATAGTGGGACAATTTAAAACAACATGGCAAGCAAATAAAAACATGAAAAATTGTTAACTTACTAACCATCAGAAAAAAACATTTGAACCACAATAAAATTTCACTACCCACCTGTTCAATATGAATTTAAATAAAAGAGGGAAGGTAACAATGACACCACCAAATGCTGATGAAGATGTGGAGAAATTGATCACTCATTCATTGCTGGTGGGAGTGTAAAATGATACAGCCATGCTGGAAAATAATCTGGCATTTTCTTACCATATTTAACAAGCAATTACACTCTTAGGTATTTATCCCAGAAAAGTGAAAACTTAAATTGACTAAAAAATATGTACCTGAATGTTCATTGCATCTTTATTTATAATAGCAAAAACTGGAATCAGTTCAGATGTCCTTCAACATGTGAATGGCTAAACAAACTGGGATATACACACATCATGAAATATTAAACAATGATTAAAAAAAAACAAAACGATATATTCAACAATTTGGATGAATCTCTATATTGAGTGAAAAAAGCCAATTCTAAACTTAAAGGTGACATACTAGATGTCTCAATTAATAAAATATTTTGAAACATCAGAATTTTAGGATGCATGTTTAGAAATCAGTGGTTGCCAAGGATTAGTTATGCAATAGGAATTTTCACCAAAGGAAGTGGATGTGATTATAGAAAGGCAACAGGAGGGACCCTATGATTTTGTTACTATTAAGTATTTTGAATAAGATGATAAATACACAAACCTACACAACTGACCAAATTATATAGAACTTAAAACACACACACACACACACACACACACACACACACACACACACACACACATACACAATAACTAGGAAATGTAAGATTTATGAATTTCATCTATGTCAAGCATCCTTATTGTGATATGATACTATACTTTTACAAAATATTACCATTGGGGGAAATAGGAAAGCATACAAGAGTTCTCTCTGCATTGTTGCTTAAAATTGCACGTGAATCTACAATTATCTCAATAAAAAACAGAGTAGCATTATTTCAGGAGTTGGATTATACAGATATGAATCAAAGTAGTCAGATGAAAGGAAATGATGCTTTGGGGGAGAAATTATAAAAGAAACATAAAGGTATTTCTTGGACAGTAGGAATTAAGATAGATTGAGTGATACTATTAAAATTATAAAATGATTTGTATTAAAAACACACACACAAAAAAAGAGCTAATTAGTTTGGCTTGATGCTTTCATTTATGTTACATTTATTTGTTGGTGTTTTTCTTATTACTTGTTAGGAATGAGGATAATTTAAAGGGTTAATTTTAAATATATTATTTATATCCAAAACAAAATTAGATATTCTTTCTAAGATATTTTTTGCATTCTTATTTTCACTAATATTTGCATTTGATTTTAGGACTATATTTTTGGCATCCAAGATAATGTAGATAAAAAGAAAGCCCTTCAATTTTATTACTGAAGAATAATATAAATGAATAAATAAATTTTTTAAATTAAGCAAAACAATAATACAATGTATCAATGTATCATTACTATGCATCATTATTCTAAGTTGAGTAACCAATTAGAAAATTCTTTTTAAAGTTTATGTGCAAAGCAATTATTTTCAGATAATTGTCTTTCCTAACATGCCTGAAAAAGCTAGACTTTCCTTAGTAATGGTGAGTCATGAAACCAAGTATTCTTGTCACCCATCAAAAGAAAATTGTTGATGATGGTATTATAAAACATCAAAATATATTTAACATACCATAATTCTTGCATTCTAGTATTTTCAAACTCTTTTAAAAAGAATATATGTACATGAAGTACTAAATTATGATATTAAATAGTTGTCCAAAAAATAATTCAAGTGATTGCACAAAGTACTGCATAAATAATTGTCAAATGATTAGCATATAACAGAAATGTTACAGAAGTTCTGAAAAGGAAGGATTATTTTAATTATCACCTTTTTTCTTTTCTAACTCCCTATTTGACTACAAACCTCAAGAAAGTAGTGATTTGGCTGTCCCTTAAAGTTGAGTCACTTGCAGTGCCCATAGTGAAAATATTTTAATGTGTAGAATAAAATAAAATAAATAATAAACAAAATTAGTATTCTAAAATGGTTTTGTAACAAATATTCCATCCTTTAGAAGTAAATAGACTGCATTTTTACTCTTTGGAGAAAAGTTTCTAGTTGTTATTTTGATGAGTTCTCCAGAGTCTAACAAAGACTTAACTGTGATAGTTGCTAAATACATCCTTGTTGAATTATACCCAGAATAGAGTCTACATAAAGTTCAAAGGAGGATGGTATGCAATAGGTACATTGTACAAAGAAAAAAATCTTTTAAAAAATATTTGCATATATATGGACATATATTCAAGTAAAAATAAAATTCCACGTTAATAGCTAGGAGACAGAACAGCCCTGAAATATGTTTAGTATCTATTAAAATATTAAAATCAACTTTTATAGTAATAATTATTTGACTAATATTTTTTCCTCTAGAAATTATGTAGAAAATTACAAAAAGTAGACAGGCTTATGTGAGCATTTTAAAAGTATATAAAAAATGACCTCATATTAGTTCTCTCAGTTCTAAGATAGATGAATTTTGGCATAACCAGAATTTACTCTTTAATAAAAAAAAAAAAAAAAAAAAATTAGGGCCTTAGCTGGTTTGGCTCAGTGGATAGTGTTGGCCTGTTGATGGAAGGGTCCTGGGTTCAATTCTGTTCAAGGGCACATGCGTGGGTTGTGGGCTTTATTCCCAGTAGGGGATTTGCAGGAAGCAGCTAATCAATGAGTTTCACCATTGATGTTTCTCTCTCTCTCTCTCTCTCTCTCTCTCTCTCTCTCTCTCTCTCTCTCTCTCTCTCTCTCTCTCTCTCTCTCTCTCCCTCTCCCTGCCTCTCTGAAATCAATAAAAATAAAATATATATTTTAAAAAGTAAGGAAAGGTATATTAAAAGGTCTGGGGGAAAAGTTGCTGAGTATGCCAACATCCTAAAACTAAGGAGAATTTTGTAATTTTTAAAAACTGGATCTTTTATTGCATTGTTACCAATGCACGTAAGAATATTGCGAGGTACTGGTTGGTGATACTATTCATAGAGTTGGTAAACCACATAAGCATTATGCAGTACTAATGATACCAAACCAGAAATAAGGCCTATTAGCCTACTCAGCTTTTATAATAAGCCTTTTGTCATAAATCCAGTTTAGGGTTTAAGGTATGAGATTGAATAATCAAAATATTGCCAAAATAATAAAGACTGTGACTACTTTATTCTTTATTCTTTATTTAAGGAATTTTGATGAATAGCATTAAATGTTCAAATTTCATTAGCTACAATTAAACTTCAGAAATAGAATTTTCTTTGCACAGAAAATATAACATCATTTTTTCCCAGAGTATCCTAAACTGTATAAAATTAAGTAACACCTTTTTTAAAAAGCTACTTTTTATATAATAAAATTTATTGTTTGGGTAATTCAGTTAAACATGCTTTAAACAAGTATATATATTTTAAAAGATCTGCATTTCATAGTTTTATTGAAATTTTAATTCAATGATGTTTCTAATCATTGCAAAGTAAATCTCAGAAGTAAGCTCTTATTTTGTTGGTTTTCAAAAGGAGAAAAAAATGTATTTCATTTTCTTTATTTTTAAAATCACTAATTCTTACAAAGCCTGGCTTTTTAAAGTGTGTAGAATGACATGGATTATAAACAAGTCTTCTTCCAGTCTGGTTTTAACATGTACTTTAAAAAAAAAAACAAGTAAGTAAATTTTTTGTTTGACATTAAAGAGGAGCAAGTTATGTGCTATTTTAAGGGGGGTGGGGTGTTGGCATAAGAAAGGTTTTCCAATAATAGATCCTTTACTCAGCGCTACTACCAGAGATTCTGATTTTTTAAAACCATCAGACTGGTTCCTAAGACCCCCATTTTCTTGCCAAAATCAATACTCAGGAAAAGCTCCCTGTAGAGTTTTCATAGAAAGACCAAGCCTGGGTAGCACTGTTCAATAAACCAACTGAAAAGTAAACGGCAATAATTCAATAACATATGGAAGCAGTGGGAAGGAAGTCTTTAAAAGCAAGGTTTAAACACTTCTTAGGGATCTCCTCGTGTTTCACCTCCCCACAGAATTAACTGGATGAGAAGTGAGGACCCAAGTGTTAACCCTCTCACCTCCCATGGCAGCATCCGGAGGCCTCGCCCCAGACAGGGTCCGGCCTGGGAGGCGGGGAAGGAGCAGAAGGCTGACAGCATGCCCAGGGAGAATATCGATCCACTGACTCTTTTCTGGTAACCATTACAGAGACGCGAGCTGACAGTAATTAAAATGACTTACACACTGGGATGGTTTCAAACTCAAATCTTCGACTGAACACCCCGTAGCCCGCTGCGGTGCGTGCTCGGATTTGGAAGACATACACCGAGGCTGGTTTCAGGCCCTCTGCGGTCATAGTGGTCTCTTTCGACTTGATGATTGTGTAGCTGGTCTCTTGGTCCTGGGATTACACATGTGCATTCAATAAAAAAATTAAAAAAAAAGTCAACATATGAATTACTAATGACAGCAAAGCTTGAAATCATAGGCAAGAAGACAAATCAGAGACTAATTTGCTATCAGTATAGATATAATGTTGTAGGAAAAAACACACAAATAAAAAACATCTACACAGACTAGGTGTGCTATTATATTTATGGTGCTGTCTAGAACTCAGTGATGGTGGGTGACATGTCACCATAATTGCCTTTGGCAGACATAAATCTGCATACTTTGAAAACACAATTTACAGAAGGTAAATGATCTTACGGACTATTTTAGTATTGTTATGTGTGCGCTTGTTTTTCTCAGAATGTTTTATTGGAGCACATCTAGCATGCTGTCTGTTCACAAAAGAAGGAGACAGTAAGACTTATGCTTTATATCTTTAGTGAACTTGATTTCTAATCATATTTAGGGCTTAGGAGAGGCAATGTCTGCTTCATTAGAGAACTTTCGTTTTAATTAGTTAAGTCTAAACAAAGAACATTTAAAAATACATAAAAGCAAAACATAGTTTCATTTTTTAAAACTTTTATATATATATATATATATATATATATATATATATATATATATATTTTTTTTTTTTTTTTTTTTACTTTTCCTTAAACCTTTTGAAAACAAATTTATTATTTGTTTGGATGTGTAGTAAATGGGGAGAGTGAAAACAATCATTGCGAGATAGTTTGGAAACTTAAACAGGAACTGTTCTAATTTTGATTGTTAACAAAAGTCTAGACTAATACCTGTAACCCCTTATATTGCTGAAGTTACTATGCTGAATATAAAATCTTAGACCTATAAAGATTTAAAATGCAAAGTCCCTGTTTTAAACTTTCTCCTTTATTTTATTTTTCTGTGTGCATTCATGGTTAACCTTATTTTTTCCTTAAGGTCTTTCTACATTTATTACATTTCTGATAGATATTAAAGGACACAGAAGGATAAATGGTCAGAGATGTTTTTCCTCCTTTTAAAGATTTGGTCTTTAATTACAATGACTTAGTTGATGGCTGTAAACCATCGTTTCTAAAACATCCCAGGAAATTTGGTCTTCACAGATAGAAGCATATATTAATTTTAAAAAAAGATTTAATGGGAATAATATGTAAATGATTTTTTCTCCTAAGACAAAAACAAAAATATAGCATTTACTTCTCCAGCACCTAATAGGGAATGGTTATTATTTAATCTTCATAGTGTATTAAAATCCAAAGCAAATGCAAACCCCAGTCCTTCTTCCATAACGTTTACAATCAATAGCAGCACACCATGAACATTGCTTTCCTGAGAACACTGAAATTGCCTGCTAAAATACAGCAAGTCAATTCGTACTTTTATCTTATTTCCTTCACTGTTAAAACTGGGGCAGAGAATATCCTCCAAAGAGATGTTTTAAGAATGAAATAGGTAATATGTATGTGTGAATATTAAACTGTAAAATATGTGTTTTGATTGTCATAATTACTATTTATGTTTTAAATAATTTGACATATCAGTCAACTTCTATCCATGTTCTATACTACCACCAATAAAATCTAAAATAACAACCTTATAAAAATCCTTCTTTCATAGAAGTTTTATCATTCCTCATTTATTATGATCAAACATGTAAAATTTATTTTAGCGTTAAATATATCCAAACTTCTCTCCAAATCAGTATGGTCTCATTTCTAATCCAAATAATTTTCTGATTCACTCCATGCAAACAATTGATCTTCATTTTTTAAATACACAGATTGACTTAAATGCCTAATCTTTAAAGTGTTCAGAGAAAAAAATTTTTTAGAGTTTTTCAAAGAATTTAAAATAGATAATTAAATCCTATAAAATTTGACTAATAATGTCAGTAATTTTCTTCATTCACAAACATTTACTGATCTTCTCTCACCTACCCTAATACCCCTTCTAAATGATAAGAATACAGCAATAAAAAAGCAGACTATCTTTTAAAAGAAGCAAGTAGCTCCTATAAACTATTGTGTTTACTGATGTTCTGAGTATGCTCAAGATTGTGTCTGAATATGCAAGACTTTCTCGATGCTATTATACTTTTCAGTTTGTGAATGAAGTAGTAATTTTCAGTAAGAAACGATATAATACCTGTTTGCTATTATTTGCAATTAGTTTGAAGAGAATTTAAGTTGGTGAAAAACAATCTAGACAAAACTAAAGTTAGGATTCTGATATATTTGATATAGCTATAATTGTCACATAAAATATTAAAATTTATAGTGTAAAGTAAGAATTTATTATTTTTTTTAGAAAAGTGCACAGGAGTATCAGTGTTTGAAATTCAGCCATGTAATTCCAGTATGTGTATAGATGTGAGTATACAGCTCTGTTTTTTCTTTGATATGTTAACCTAAAAATAGAAATCCTTTCAAAGTGAGAAGCAACAAGCCTTTATTTGAGATCAAAGGATAGCTATTCAGTAAAGCACTGATTCATGCAGAAGCCCAAGTAGTGTTCTGATTAGAAGACAAGGGCAGAGGATATTTGTGAAAAAGAAGGGGGAATGAGTACATAAATGGAAGGCATTTCTATTGATATAGATAAGCTAACATAGTGATGTCAATTCTAAAACTTAAAAAAAAAATTAGTTCAGCAGTCATCAGATAGTCATGATATCTGATTTTATGTTATTTTTACGAACAGTTATTTGGGATTCAATATTGCCTTAGGCCCAGGCCAAACATTTTGAATTGTTTGAACATTTTTAAAGTTTGATGCATAAAATATGCAAGGCAGTTCCTCTGGTTCAAACTCTGTTTTATAGTGTCTCTGTTTATTATTATTTGACCTTTAAAATGGGATGAAATTATTCATTAAGAGCATCGCGAGCACAGAGAGAGATGGAAATAATGTACATAGCAACCAGCACAACTTCTATAACATCATAGCCTGCAGGTAAATTTGATTTAACCCTATAGAACGATGATAAATGCTTCTAAGGAAAAAACACAAGTTTACATGGTTGGAACTCCTAACTATTGAAGTCACAAGCAGTAAAGCTTGCCAGAAAAAAAGAAGAAAAAACATCACAAGGAAATTGAACACTTCCTCCTTGAAATAATGCAGTATCTAATATCAGTTGCATAAAATTATGCAACATTCTGATTTATCTGTTAATATTATGTATGTCTTAGTGGTTCCATCTCATAGGTCTCATTGTGCATTGTCTCTATGAGTAGTTGAATACTATCTTGTTGAAGGACTTAACAAAGCATATTTCTAAGGGATCAAATTCCTTACACAACCTTGTTGAATTACCTAAATATCTTCCAAAATATGCCTTTGCTCCACTCCTTTCAATCACTGCAAGGTTAAAATTTCCTCCATATCACAAATTCTATGTACACATCTTGAACACCCACAATCACATGACAGCAGGCTGCCAAGTCCATGGGTTCAGGCAGTGGCTTTTGCTGCTTTCCCGTACCTCCCCGCTGAGCAAATGAGCTACATTTCCCCAGCTGCTTAGCAAACACTGTTCACAAGCAGGGCGGGGAGGGCCTGGACAGAAGGAGCCAGCTGGCAAGCACCCTGCCCAGGGGCAGCTTCCCTTAGCCTCTGCCTTTAATTAAGAGATGGCAATGGGCCCATCGCCATGCAGGAGCAGAGAGGCCCAATGACCTCTATTAGAGCAGGGCGATCGCAGGCAGACATGCCAGCTGGCGAAGGCATGAGCCCGGGAAAGCTCTGCCACCTGTGTCTGGCCAAGAACCAACCAGGAAAGTAGTGGTGGCATTCAGAAGGTTCCAAATGGACCCTGGAAACCTGTTAGGACCCCTGTCTTAATACACGGTATAAAAGCTCATTTTCCGTTTTTTTCCTCCCTTCTTCTGAAAGTGTTAAGCAAAACCAAAACAAACCTTTACATGTTTTTTATTGGTATGCTCAGTAATTTAACTTGGCCAAAAGGTCTGGGATTTAATATCTTCATTATAAAAAATATATTGACCAAAATGTTAATAACTTCCCCAAATAATGTATTATATAAAAGGTTTTGTAGATTTTTATTTCATGTAGGTAGGCAACTTATTATTTATTTATTGTGGAATGTTTAGAACTAATTCTTCCCAAATCATTTTTTTTTTTTACTTTGAGTTATATAGGTAATAAACTGTTTTAATACAGAGTTATATGTAAACTATTAAATATAAAACCAAATCTTACTGAAATGATTTTAAAAGAAATTAAACTACAAATAAAATTCCATCACATGAATATAATCATTAAAAGAAATATTAATAGCAAAGAACTCTGCTCCACCACTTGTCAAGTAACTCCAGTAGCAGCCTAAAACCACTGCTTCTACATCACACAGGAGGGTCACAAGTAGGTTTGCAGTTGTGAATATATGAAACATAGAGTTTATTATTATATTATTTACTAATTATTGTATTATGTTTCATACAGACAACTATAAACCTATTTTTGCCTACCTCTGTATATATGGCACTCACATAGATGCTGGGAAGTGATTATAAAAATAATCAAAGTTTATTCATAAATGTGAAAAATAAGAGAATTTCCTTAAAGACAAAAAGGAAAAACCAGACATTGGTCCAGCTAGTTGTTTCAGGTAACTAGCTGAAACAACTAACAGGTAGAAAAACTATGCTAAAAAAGAAGTACTTGTAGAACTTTTAGTCTCCCTGATCTTGAATTTTATTTCATCTAAGAGACAGATATCCAGATGCATAGTTTTTGGTGTATAGTTATTTTTAAGTGCCATTATGCATTTTAACTTTTTAAAAAATCAAATTTAATTACAATAAAAATTTGGGGACTTAGAATATTTTAAAAAAAATCAATCTATGTTCATACACACACACATAGATCTAGTTACCTAACTTTGCATGAGTATTCAGTAAAAAAATTTTATAAACAACTGAGTAAGAAATGCAAACTTTAACAAAATATATTTGGGTATAGAATGTGTTTAAATTGTAGACCTGTTGAATTTAGACTTCAGTTTGGAGAAACAGGGATCAGTTAGGGATAATTAATATAACATTTTACTTAATTTACTTGTTTTTTGCAATAAAATTTATAAACCATATCTCAACATTAGTTTTGCTTAGAGGTATTCTCTTATAGCAATGTTGTTGAATAATGTATTTGATAAAGTATTTTTTGTGAAATATAAGTATCTTCATTTTATGTTCCCTAATCTCCCAATAGTTTACATTAAGTCATTAATTTACATCAATAATCCCTAGGGAAAAATTTTCAAAAGAAATAATTTCTGTTTACTCATCTATTTATAAAATTAATATATGAACATTGTACAGACAGACAAGACCTGGAAAGAATACGTAGCAACCCCTGATCTCAACCTCCACACACATCCTATTTTGTACTCTGTTGTACTTTTACATAACTAATTGTCAAATCAATAAATAAACGAAAAAATTAAAATATATGTTCTATAACGCATTGAATTATTTCAATGTATTTACTTATACTCTTATCTATGTTGGATTTTAAAGTATTTTTTATTAATAAGTAATCAGCATTTTTCATTATATTCTTGCATTAATATAAGCATAATAATTTATTCCCCCACTCTCTTCCCATGTATAGTTTGGAAAATTTCTTAGGTATTGCAAAATAAATGTTTGTCCTACCTCTCCTCCACTTCACTCTTCCTTAAGAGGGTAAGAGTGATGTCTCTGTGAGTCTGGGAGAAGCACTTGAGTCAGTGTGGTCGAGCCCTATCCTTTTCTCTTGGAATTTGCTTCTCTGTATTATAGTCTACAATCACCCTCACTTCTGCTTCTACTTTTGTAGGACACATATTTCTGGGTCAGTTTCTCCTATCCACTAATGACGAGGCTGGTTGGGAACTCCTCTCTCTTCATCTCCTCTGTTAGAAAACTGATCTAACTCAGATCCAGACTACAAAAATCACAGTGAAATGGGCTGAGAGCTGGAAGACTCATGATGGCTGCATATCTAAGCCTAATATTCCAACCTAGCTTTAGAAATTATAGGCCTGTCTTTAGTTTTCATTTGTTCGATTCCTTTATTAGCAGCTCACTTAGTTGTGGATCCAGAAAAGAAGTAGGATGATTATTGCCTTCAGACCTCAAAAACTATTATGGCAAACATATAAGCATGGGCCCAAGAATCAACCCAGGGAAGAAGAAATCGAGAAAATACAGGGACTGTAAGGCACATATTTCCAATTTTGGGCCCCAAACTTTAAAATAAACATTATATACCATGTTTGGATGTTATGTTACTTTGTTATGGATTTTTAAAATGTTATGGATTTTAATATATATTACATACACATCTTGTCTGTTCACACTTCCTTAATAGCATAGGTATTATGCAGGGTTATTGTACACAAGCGCTATTTCTTGTAGTACAAATCAGTCAGTTATGAAGGTCAGCAACTAGAGTGTTTGTGACACTTTGAAAATGTCCTATGACTTCATCTCTTAATGCTGTGAAACCTAGTTAAGCTGATGTTAGACTACATGGCAGCGCCTGGGCAGCATGAACCAGTTGGCAGCAGAAGGACACACGTAGCGTGCTCCCTGTGCACTCCTCACCTCCATAAGCATGACTGCAGAATCAATTGTCATTGATTTACACATAAAATTGCAACAGGCTTTTCTACAAATTGGATAATTGCTATTTCTAAAATGAAAAAAAAGAAGAAGAGAAAAGGACATTCTTTATTTTGTTAGACCCACCTTTTCAAAATATTTGATTTCATACTCCAGGATGATTCCATTGGGCCGATCTGGCTCTTGCCAAGACAAAGAGATGCTGTTCTTTGCAATCTTCCCCTTTTTTACGTTGGTGATTGGAGAGGGGGCTGCAAAATAGTATAAATAAAGAGTAGCATGATTAACAGAGCCCTGGAATTACAACTGTGTATAATGAATATTGGCATTCCAGGAACGCGGTATAATAAAAATCCCAAACAATTAAATTTTCTTTTAACCTGGAAACAATTTTACTTTCTCTGTATAATACAAGTTTTTATAGATTGTAAAGTGTTTTACAAATATAAATCAACTAAGTATCCTGAACATTTTCTATCATAAAAATGTAATCACACAGAAACTCAAGTCTACATTTTTTCTATAAAGTTTAGAAACATAAATGAATGATTTTACTTTTTTTTAACAAGGATATCTGTGTTGACCTGAAATACTTGTTTTTAAATGTATGGACTCTGTAAAATAGATACATAATTATCTATGTTACTACATTTTTGCATCTTTAAGGTTCTTTTATTTATTATTTGTGAAATTGTGAGTTCTATAATCATTATTAAATTTATATATTAAATATAGAGCATGTTTTCTTCAAAATTATGTTATAAAATATATTATATCTTGCAAAATTGCAAATAAAACAAAAATTTTCCTTTGTTTCCATTTCCCACAAGTATCGATATTTCATGAGATGTCAAATTCACCTATAATGTTTGTTGTTATTGGCTACTGTCTACTAAAAAGTTCAAGAAAAATTACTTTTCTGATGAAAATTGAATAAACTGTATGCTATTTCAGATATATCTGGATATTTTAAATTCCCAAACATATGAATATTTGATTCAACACCAATTTTTTTAAATTGTCACTTTTAAAAATATATATATATATATATATATATATATATATATATATATATATATATTTTATTGACTTTTTACAGAGAGGAAGGGAGAGAGATAGAGAGATAGAAACATCAACGAGAGAGAAACATCGACCAGCTGCCTCCTGCACACCCTCCACGGGGGATGTGCCCGCAACCAATGTACATGCCCTTGACCAGAATCGAACCTGAGACCCCCCCAGTCCGCAGATCGACGTTCTACCACTGAGCCAAACTGGTTTCAGCTCAACACCAATTTTTATGAGTCTGTTGAGACTTGTGTGGACACTGGATTTGACGTTATAAAGAGGTATTGACTAATATTTTTCTGATGTAGGTTACCTTTATTTTTGTAGCTTTTAGATTTTATAAAAGACATAGGAAAGGCTATAATCATCTAATAAATGATATGTCTATGATATTATATATCGTGTATATATATATATGTGTATGTGTGTGTGTGTGTGTGTGTGTGTGTGTATAATACATAGAAGATATTAAAGACAGCAGACATAATGAGTAGGGTATAATCAAAGTCATAGCCTATCAGCAGTATTATCAACAGTAAAAGGCATTTGCTGCAATTCAATTTTATATACTCAGAATTTATATTTACATAAAAATGATATTATCTCAAGAGTAAAACACAAACCCAGATTTTCAAACAAGGATCACCACATGTGTGTCCTCTCACCCACCTCCTGCTGCTGTTCTTCAGCAGCCCTGCCCAGGCTTTCCACTCAGGCAGTTCAGACACTCTTCTACCCAAGGGCCAGAGCACTTGGCACTCATCACTCAGAGGTGCTTCTCCAGAGCTCTCCCTTTCCTCTGGGGTTTTCCTGAGACCTTGACTGTCTACTTTACCACTCGAGTAACTGACTCTCACCCCTGACATCTTCTTACCTCACCATGCCTTCTGCTCTTTTGATGTTTCATTTTCTCTTTAGTTCTTTCACTTGTATCTTCTAATATTATATCTTAAGTAGAGATTTTCTTTTTTTTCCCGTCCTCTCAAGTAGAATATAATTTTTGTGAGGGCAGAAATATATTGATCGTACTCATTGCTGACTCTCTAGATTTAGAACAGTGCCTGGGATGGAGGAGCATCCACTAAGTATAAATTGAATGATTGACTGTAAAGCAGAATCAAAGTAATATACTAAAAAAAAACTAATTTATTTTTAAATTATATATCAAGGAACTCAACTATGAAACTCAATTATGAAGTGTGTATTTTAATAAAATTAAAATAAACAGACATATATCTGTGAGAGAGCTAAATTAGTTGTTTCATGTTTTATATACCCACTAGAGGCCTAGTGCATGAAAATTCATGCACTCAGGGGGGTCTTTCAGTCCAGCTTGTACCCTTTCTGCAGTCTGAGATCCCTTGGGGGATGTCTACCTGCCGGCTTAGGCCCGATCCCTTAGGCCCGATCCCTGATGGATGTCTACCTGCCGGCTTAGGCCCGATCCCTTAGGCCCGATCCCTGATGGATGTCTACCTGCCGGCTTAGGCCCGATCCCTTAGGCCCGATCCCTGATGGATGTCTACCTGCCGGCTTAGGCCCGATCCCTAAGGGATCGGGCCTAAGCCGGCAGGTAGACATCCATCAGGCACCCTGGGAGCCCTCAGGGGATGTCTGACTGATGGCTCATCTGCAGTTGGACATCCTTAGCACTACTGAGGAGGTGGGAGAGCTCCTGTCACTGCTACAGTGCTCGCAGCCATTAGCCCAGCTTGTGTCTGAGTGGCGCTCCCCCTGAGGGAGTGCACTGACCACCAGGGGTCAGCTCCTGCATTGAGCATCTGTCCCCTGATGGTCAGTGAGCATCATAGTGACCAGTTGTTCCACTGTTAGGGTCAATTTGCAATATTACCCTTTTAATATCCTATGTAATAAAGAGTTAATATGCTAATTAAACCTGATGGCAGAATGACCTTCTAGAATAACCAGTGGCTGGGGCTGCAGGGCCGGGCAGGAGGTGGGGAGTTGGAGGGCCATGAGGCAGCCAGGGAAGTGAGGGCCAAGCATTTTGCATGAATTTTGTGCATCAGGCCTCTAGTATAGGATAATAGGGTGATAATGACTTCAGTATTTTAATGTGTACTTTTATTTTTTTAATCACAGATCTTTCTTAATGTGGTCAATTCCATGAAGTTTTTTTCAAGAATAACAGAGTTCATTTAAAGCCCAGATGAACTAAAAGTAGTTTTGAAATTGCTGTATATTCACTTCTATGTAAATTGTAATAGATTGGCAGTTCCTACAGTCACATTTTGGTATAGGGTTAAAGTCCCTATTGATTTCCTGGTGAAGGAAGTCATGGCATATTCTGCATGGTAGACAAAGCATCCAGAAGACAAGAAACAATGAAAGGTAAGCTATGTGCCTCCCAGTTCATCAGCATGTTTGTAGCAAAGTAGCAAAATGACTGAAGCAGAGGCTCATGGAAGACAGCAGAGATTTTTTAATGTTCTTTGATCAGTAGTGAATAGCTTTGTACCTTGAATCATGAATTAGACTGACTTTCCGATTAGCCCTATATACTTATTGCATTATGTTACTAAATATACAAAGATGGTCTTGAAAATTCTTCATTCACTTTACTACTTTGCAAACATTCTCCTTTTGACTGATGTATTTCTTATAAGTAACTGTCAGTTTTTACCCAATAATTGATGGTGTTGTCATCTTTCTATTCATAAATTGCATTTAACATGTATGCTCTATGAAGGAAGGATTAATTTGATTTCATTCACTGCTCTATTTCTAGCACCAAAAAAAAATATTTTGCATATAGAGATTTAGTAAATATTCATTGAATGTACACATGCATGAATGACTAAATAGGAAATACATATATCATCATGTATCATTCAAAACTGATTTTGTCTCATCTTAGTTGCACAGATTAAGATCTTATTAATTGAAGATGTTTGCATTATTTTACAACTTAATTCTTTAACAAAGTAATCAAATGTTTCAGAGTGAAGCTCTCAAATATCAATGCACACTTAACCAGGCTGAAGTGAAATATTTTGTTATTTAAATCATTGAAAAACAAAAATTATGTATCATTCAAAGACTGCTTGATTGAATAAGGTCATAGTTTGCCAAAGTTGGTTTTCTCAAGAGTTAAATACAGAGTGCCCTTTAAAAATGGTTCAGAATCGGGGAAGAAGCCCACTCAGAGTAGTTTAGGAATAATATCCTCTCTGGCAAAAGCATCTCTGCATCATTTGGGTAAAAGCTGATCCAACTGGGGACACTGACAGCTCCTGGGGACATGATGATGATGCACAAATTGTGAATGGCAGCATTCGCCCGCTACTGTAGAGTACTTCACAAGTATTGTGCACATTAAAATAATTGCAGCCAGATTTGTAGCATCAAGGGCAGGTTTAATATATCTCATTCATCTTCCTCACAGGTACCCTTTGCTCATTCTTTACCCGCTTACGATTTTATTAAGTAAGCCTGAAACAAAATGAGAAGGATGATTTAGATCATTCCTGATTGTAAATAAAACTATAACTTTCCTGGTGTAAGAAGAAAATACTAAAGAAATCAAGTTGTGAACAAAGCATATTACTTTACATAACATCTGAGTTTTACCTTTTGGATATGTGGAAACATTTTAAGTTGTTTCTGAATAGCAGCTTTTATATGGCACTGACCTTTGAGGATCAGTGTAATAAGCAAAATAACCCCCCTTTAGGCTAGTAAATATATTTCATCTCTTGGAATTTTTAAAATAAAATTTAAAATAGTTTTATATTTATAGAAAGATTACAAAGACAGTACAAACAGTTCATGTATATCTCACACCTAGTGTTCACAATCGAGCATCTTACATCTGTCACTATTAATGAATCAATATTGATATGTTATTATTCACCTCAGTCTGTACTTTATTTAGGTTTCCTTAGTTTTATTTATTATCCTTTTTCTAGTTTTTGTCCCCGTCTTAAGGCAATCACTTTTCCTAACAACACTGGTTTCTTTCATGGAACCATGCTGTTATAAACCAATTCCTGCTGACTGGATATTATTGGAATTTCCTGCATAAAGGATATGGGTGTATCCCATAATCTTAATAAAAGGGATAGCAAAGCCAGAGCTGATGTAATCCTCTCTTCGACTCCCACCAGGCCCCCGATATTCCCAAATTAACACTTTTCTAGTCTCTTTCATTTGTGTGTGGCCT